CCTCATCTCAGCCATCAAAGCCTTGTAAGATTTGATCCATCTTGTCTACTTAACCTTTTCCCTTTCCCCAAATCTGTTCGCACCTCACCCTAGCCATTGCTTGCAGATTCCTCAAGCCAAAACTGTGTCTCATTCACACTTGCGTTCCTAAATCCTAGGGAGCATGGCACATGCTGTCAACAAATATTGCTTTCTTTAACCTATTACATCTTTTCCTGCCCGTATACTGTTTTCATCACGTTATTCCATTTCTCAGAAACTTTCAATGACTCCCTATCTCTTACCTTATCAAGTTTAAATTCCTTTGCTTGGCTTTTTCAACCCCTCACGATCTGTCCCTCATGCTAAATTTCTAATCTTATTTCTAACTGTGCCCCAATATGTACCCGTTTTTATGGCCTTACAAATATGACATATCTATGCCTTAGCTCATGCTGTTTCTCTCTCTTGGCATAGACACCTTTCTTCCAACATCTCTCCACAAAAGTTCTATCCATCCATATCCTCTCCTTATGAAGCCATCTTTGACTAATTATTTTTTATATGTCAGCACTCACAGATTTAGGAGATTTTCTAATAGGAAGAGCCTTTAAAAATGGACTGGTCCCTATTTTTGTTCCACACGATATGCACCTATAGTTATCTCTTATAGCACTTAGCATAGTGCTGAGCTCAGAACAGATGCTCTTGTAGGGCTTTGTCCCATCTAAAAAATGTATACAATCTAGGGCTATAGTTGTTTGCAGTATGTAGATATTAGTCAGTTTGAGGTGACAGACTATGAAAAAAGAAAATTTTAATTTCATATTTAGAAAATGGCTAACATATTAAGTAAATAAAAGATATGTGGGGATAGATAGGGTTACAGTGGGCCAGGGGTTGAGACATTTCTGTTGTTCAAACCTAAACTGGCCTAAGCTCACAGAGGTATTTTGAAAATGAAGAGTTTAGGTAGAAGACTGTTCACTGCCCACTCATTTTTTATCCCTGCAACGTTCAGTTAACTACTCCAGTGAGGTTCCCTTAAATGATATTCAGAACGTCACCGTGGTAAAGAAGAGGCAATCAGTTCCCCATTATTCTTTTAAAGAACATTCTCTTCTTTCGACTTCCTCTTGCTCTGCCCCTCCCATACAATTCCTTTAAAGAACTTAAATCATTTTTTAACCTCTTTAAGATTACGTGCATCAATGAGGTAAGTTATGTTACAAACCTTGCCAAAGTGTAGTGATTGTGAGCCTTTCTAATAAACATTTTCTTTGATCTTTCTCCCCCCACCGCCAACAGCTATCTGCCTAATCATAAACCAATTTTGAAAAAAAAACTTGATATACAAATACATTTGTGATACTTAATATATTTTTTTAGATAGAATTTGAAAGCCTCTGCATTGTGCCAGAATGTCCTCCTTTATTTTGCAGCAGGTCTAATGAAATCCTGACTATTGCCTAACCCGGAGCATGGACACTAGTAGATTTATTTCTGGAAAACTCTGACATCCAGAGAATATTTTCTAGCTATTTATGTAATCAGTGACTCGAGGTATCCTCAAGGCAATTTTTCTAATATGTAAGCTTTTTGAGGGCAGGGGCCATAGTTTATTTTTTATCACTAGTGCCTAATATAGTAGGCACTCAGTCAATCTGTATTGACTGAGTGAATAAATTAGTACAAAGACCAGTCTCCACCCAGCAGAAGACTCATAGTTTAATACAGAAGACAACACAAATAGCAGCTGTCATCATTATCATCATTAAAAATATTTATTGAATAATTTTACTTGGTAAGGCGCTAGAGTTTATAAAAAAGAATATTAACATCATTCTTTTAGGATAAAAACTTTGAAAGAATGAAAAGACTTTCATTCATACAACAAATTTTTATTGAGCACTTGCTATGTTCTAGAATTGTATGGGCACTGGGGATACAATGGCAAATAAGGCAGACAAAAATCCCTGCCTTTGGGGAGCTTAAATTAAAATGGGGGTGAATACCAATAAGCAAAATATCCATTATTTTAGTGATAAGTGCTAAGGAAAAAATTAATATGGAATTCAGGATATGAAGTGGGAGTGTTGAAGTTTTAGATAAAATGGCTAGGGAAGTCCTCATGCAAATAACTTTTGAATAAAAAGAAGGAAGGGGCACCTGGGTGGCTCAGTTGGTTAAGCGACTGCCTTCAGCTCAGGTCATGATCCTGGAGTCCCGGGATCGAGTCCCGCATCGGGCTCCCTGCTCGGCAGGGAGTCTGCTTCTCCCTCTGACCCTCCCCCTCTCATGCTCTCTCTCTCTCTCTCATTCTCTCTCAAATAAATAAATAAAATCTTTAAAAAAAAAAAAGAAGGAAGAAAGTAAAGATATGAAACAATCGTATTTCTAACACAGGAGAAAAAGGTGAGGTGAGGACAACTAGCGCTATGTGTGAAAGGGTAGATGTTACAGTGGCCCACTTCCACCTGTAGCATTGAGTATTGGGTCTCACTACCATGATACACCAGTGCTTTGGGACTCACTGTACACAATATGCCTAGACAGCCATGTGGTTTTAATTGGTAGGAGTGCTGAGGGAATGGTTTGTAGATTGAAGCAGAACAAAAAAAGCACTTAAACTAGTGTCAGGTGGGAGGTCATAAAGCTGCTTCAGCAGCTTTTGCTAATTTGAATTCGTACATCCAAATGAAAGATAGAAGATGCTCCTAGAAATTATTGTAATATGTAATGAGAAAAGAAAGCAGGAAAAATGAAGCAAGTGAATTTGAGAATCTGGAAGAGATTAATGAGTGTTAAGTAAAGAGAAAGACAAAAAATAGGACCAGTAATGCAAAGGCCCAGTCGTGATCTGGAGAGCTCCAAAATGAATGTGGAACATGGTAGGGGTGTGTGTGTATGTGTGTAACTTGCATTGGTGTTTTATGGATTGAGTCGTGTCCCCAGCAAATTCGTATGTTTAAGACCTAACACCCAGTATCTCAGAATTTAACCTTATTTGGAAATAGGGTCATTGTAGATATAATTAAAGATGAGGTCATACTAGAGTAGTTGGGCCCCTAATCTACTAATGACCGATGTCCTTGTAAGAAAGGACACCACATTTGAACAGACAGGCCACATGAAGATTGTGGAGTTATGCCACCACAAGCCAACGACCTATCAGAAGCTAGGAGAGGCCTGGAAGAGATCCTTCCTTAGTGCCTTCAGAGGGAGTATGGTCCTGACAACACTTTTAGACTTCTGGCCTCTGGAACTGCGAGACAATTTCTATTGTTCCGAGTCACACAGCTTGTGATACTTAGTTACAGCAACCCTAGGAAACCCACTTAGCACGTAAGATTATTTTAAGGCAAACACCAAAAGCATCCTTCCATCACAGAAAGGGAAAGAGTGCCTAAGAGTGATTGCCTGATTGTCTTAGGGATCACAAAGGCCTAATAGCATGGACGTCTGTAGTTAAATTGATTTTGTTTTACCAAGCCTCTCTTTTTAATTACCGTGTTTCATTTTTGTTTTTAGAAAACTCACATAAAATCTGCTCTGCTTAACTAATTACAAGGCACTTCTGACCTGTGTGCTTGTAGTATCATACAAACGGTAACTGATCTGACCGTAAGAGCGGGGTCACGGCTTAAGGGAGGGAAGCGCCTTTTCTCAGCATTGAATTTAAAAAGTTGAAAGGGAAGAGCAACCTCGATTCAGCTATACAGCATCTCTCTCCCACAGGTTGTACTGCTGACTGCGGCCCTCGCCCCTGCAGGAGGGCGGTCGTTGCTGTCTGGGGCGAGCGACCTGACTCCTCACAACTAGGAGGGGTCAAGGCAAGACAGGGTGCGGAGAAGGGCAAGGTTTCCTTCGGCCTCCTCCCGCACGGCAGAGGAGCGAAAACCAGCCCCGCCTTACGCGCATGCTCAGTCGGGAGGGCGCCGTCCACAGAGAGCGCCCCGGCTCAGGTTTTCCCCGCAGCTGGGGAGGTGCCGGGAACCGGCCGCGGCCGGGCGGACCGAGGAAACTCTGGCCGGCTGGCTGGGCGGGGCCGCCGCTCACTCAGCCCGACTTTCATTTTCCTGCCTTGGTAACCTTGTTCCCGCCACCGTCAAAGGGAGCGGGGTGGAGCTGTGCACCCCGGTAGGGTGGAGTCCGAGGGCACCCAAGTTAAATGGCTTTTCAGGCGTCTCGGGGGGTTGGAAGGCCGCGCTTCTGGAGGAAGAACACACTCCCTGAGAAAATCCTGGGGCGGTCACTGTTCTCGACTGGCCAGACCTCTGTTTTTAAACCAGCCACAGCCAGGACAACCCCAACTGTCCCACTGTTGTCCCCGCTAAGATTAAGAGCCCTCCCAGAGACCACCTTCCTGCTCTGTGCCCAGCGGGCCCATAGGCTGCTTTGAAAACGGGCGTCCTCAGGTATCTATCTCCCAGAGGCGCCGGCTTCATCGCCATACGTCCATTCCAGCTTCGTTTCAGGATGTCGGTTCTGCTTCCCCACCACCTTCCCGGGTCTGAGGCGGCCCAACGTCTCCTCCGGGAAATTCCCGCCTGTGCAGCTGGGTTGTCCTATAATGAACAAGGGCCCGTTTTCCGGGTGTGGGCTGGCGGGGTCAGAGAGCCAGCCGGTGCAAGCCAGACAGTAGCACTCGGGACTCAATATCCCCGCGCTCTGCCTTCTCCGGGCCCACCCACCGCACCTCAGGCGGTCGCCATCAAGCTGCTCCGCAGCGGCTGCAGCTGGTCCACAAACACGCCCACCCGCACGCTCAGATTCACTTGCCTCGGGAGGCGGTGGCGGCGGCGGAGGGGGGGGGTTGCGGCACTGAGCATGCTCGGTGGAGAGGGCGGGGCCCTCCAGGGCTGCGAGTCGGGGCTGGCGCTCCTCAGGCCCGCTCGGCGTCTCCGCCGCCAGCCCGCTG